GCTGCTGGTCCGGGACCTCCCGGCGCTGCCGCTTTCCGCATTCTCCCCAAAACTCTCCAGCACCCGCTGCCCTCCTCGGGATCTCCGCTTGGACCGTTTTGCCAAAGCTTGTGGAGTCCCACCAAAGCCATCCCCCAGGTCTCTGCTCACCGCAGGATCTTCACAATGATCCTTTCAACAGCGTCTTCCCGAAGGGGACATTCATCCTCGTGGCAGGGACAGAGCAGATGGTGGCCATGGACCATCCAGAGCTCTGGAAGCAGTGGCTGGGCAGGAAATTCAAGGAGCAGACCATGGATGTCCTCCATTCTCTGCAGGTCCCTTGGCGTTTTGGAGCCCCGATGTGAAGCCCATCCATGGTGGCTGTGCTGAAATGAGGACGTAATCTGCCTTGCTCTTTGCAAGAACCCAGCCACCTCATCTCAGAATCACCTCCCAAATCCAAAGCTCTTTCCCAGCTACCTGCCAGGCCATTTTATGGACAGCAGGGCTTGATGGACCTCAAACTTCTCGGCAGCGTCAGAGCCTAGCATTGATGATAGCAAGGCAAGAAAGCTGCCGCTGCTCCTCCTCTCCTTGCTTTACATCATGAGACTTCAGCTACTTCCTGACGTTACACTCAGCTTCTTGCCAACCATTTGGAAAGAGCCTCTTGCTTCAGAGGAGGGGGATTCTGCTGCAGCCGAGAGACACTCCAGTGGACAGAGAAGGACATGTAGAAACTGGACCGAGAAGAGCATGTAGAAAGTGTCTACTGATGGAAAATGGTGAGTAGTATCTGTAGCTGGGCCACTTGCTCTTGGGCTGTGTCGTGTCTGGGCTCAGGGCGCAGGGATTAGGGCAGTTTCTGCTGCTGTAACACTTGGAAAACTGGAGGATTTATTTGGCTTTGTCATTACAAGGTGCTAGATCCCTGCCCCTCTCCAGCTTCCCTCTTCAGACAGTAGCTCTTTTGTCCTGCTGCTGCTTATTGAAGCCCCAGCTGATGTGAAGAAGTTACTGAATGTTAGATGGAAACTAAGATGGAAACACAATTTTATAATTGTGACTTTGCCTTGTTCTGAAATGCAGCCAGTCTGGGCCAGCACATGGATGGCAAAAGGCAAAGTCCTTGTGCACAGCTGCCCTGGTCAGAACTTGCAAAATCCCTGGAAAGTTACTGGTCTCAGTGCAAGTGCTGGTGACACTGAATTGCACAAGTGTGTAAAGAGATATAAAGAGAAAGAAGAGACGATTACATTGTACCACTGAATCCAGAAGACCACCTATCCGTGCAAAAGCTTTTGAAAAAGCTAGAATTTATCAGAATACAGCAAAAGCAGTGCCGTATCACATAGATAACCTTTGCTCAGGGAATGGATTAAAAACATATGAATCATTTAGAAGCCAAATGCATGTTCTGGAATATTGAAAAAGTTGCTTTACTTGCTGGTTTGTGTGAAAGCTCCGCTGGCTGGTAGACAGGAAATAATAAATTCTCTCTGCTCTAACACGGACTGTGTTTAGAGTACTCAGCTCATGGCCTTTTACTGGGGAAAATTGAGGTGGCTACCACATACCTCCCCCAGGCATGCAAGACAATATTGCACTTATTTAGGTGAAAAAAAAACATAACCACAAACTCAAATTGAAATCACAGAGGTAGGAGAACTTCAGGATCTAGCAATGGCAGAGCAAACTTTCAGACCATCTAGCTCCAATACAACAGGGTCTGGTGGTCCTGGCATGATAGAGTGGTGGAGAGATTGGTGAGAAGGAAAATGATCTCTCCACAACTATTTGGTCCACCTGAGAAGCTTGCAGAAATCCAAGCACATCACACCTGAGGCCTCTGCCATACCTTGAACTTGGCATTCCTCCTCAGATCCATGCTCCTCCTGGCAGCCTTTCTTTGGAGACTTCCGAAAGGTGCTTTTAGGGCACTCAGGAAGCTCGGGGGCAGCGTGTCTGAGAGATTGATGTGTCCTAGTTTGTTGTGTGAGCTCTGTGCACACGAGCAGCACAGGAAATGCACTGGCCAAAAAAAAAAAACCCAAAAAACACCCCAAAAAGTAGGGCAGATCTGCCCTTGCTTGTGTAGACTCATCTCAGTGCAGCTCAGCGTTGAGGTCCCAGGTTGCCCTCCCGTGATGTCGGTGACGGGTGCTGACCACTCTGGGCTGTCCCTTCCACCCAGATCCCTCAACCTGCAGTGCCCAAGGAGCCAGGGCCACCTCTTCTGGTGATGACAGTCACAAAGCAGGACACATCCCCACACGGATGTGCGGTTGCTTCTGTATTAAGGAGGGAAGTGGTGCTTGGGGCTGCCTGGCTCAGTGCTTTCAAAAGAGGATGCGAGCGAGCGGCCGCGCTCCTCTCTTTCGGGAACAAACCCCGTGACACACATGATTTCTTTGGCCAGAAATCATTCCCCTTGCAAACCGTGCGTCTAACAGCACCATGCTGTTCTTACCGGTCAAATAAGCTGTGACATGGGACTGCTGGTGGTCCTTCTCCCTGATCAAGGACCAGATACATGAGATGGAAAGTCAATGGGAAGCACAACCACCTCCCCGGTGCCCTGGGCTTACCATGGACTTCATGGGAACCAGGATCAGAACAAGGTGGGTTGCTCCTGTCTGAGCCTTGTACAATATCTAAGTCTCAATTTCTGTCCTCATCAGCTTTGTTACCAGAGCGACATAGTCCCATGCCCCCTTTTGAAGGTCCCTCATAGCAAACTGAGGGAGGATCACAAAAAAGGCTCCATGAAATTCCTCCTGAGTGTCCTCATGGTGGTGGGACCTGCTCCTGTGCAGCCTTCCCAGGGGGATATTTTCTCAGACACATTCCAGGACCCTTATGAGCAAAGACCTCTTTTCATGGAGGAGCTTCAGCGTCAGGACATGCTGAAATGATGCAGTCTCCGAGGGCAAATGGTTTGGGCTTGGGTTCGTTTTGCTTTGTGGCCTTTTAACCGGAGCTTTTCTCAACAGTCACAGACACATCTGGAAGGGAAACAGGCGCTCGTGAGTGACCT